GAGCGACCGACTTCAGCTCGAGTCATGATCTCATGGTTTGTGAGTTCGAGCCCCGCATCGGGCTCTGTGCTGACAGCTCAGAGCCTGGAGCCTGCTTCGGATTCTGTGTCTCCCTCCCTTCTGCCCCACCCCCATCCCCGACACTCTTGTCTCTCTCTCCTTCAAAAATAAACAAACATTAAAAAAATTTTAATAAAACTAAAACCATATTTTTAAAATTTTTTTAATATTTTATTTATTCTTCAGAGAGAGACAGAGACAGAGCATGAGTGAGGGAGGGGCAGAACAAGAGAGGGACACAGAATCTGAAACAGACTCCAGTTTCTGAGCTGTCAGCACACAGCGTGATATGGAGCTCAAACTCATGAATCTTGAGATCATGACCCTAGCCGAAGTTGGACGCTCAACCAACTGAGCGCCCTGATTTTTTTTTTTAATGTAAAGTTCAACCTACTCATAGGAAAATAGTTTTGTTTTTGAAGATTTTATTTTTAAGTAATCTCTGTACCCAATGTGGGGTTCGAACTCACAACCTTGAGATCAGGAGTCATATACATTCTACCAACTGAGCCAGCCAAGTACCCCAGAAAATAGTTTTTGACCCTATACTGGATCTTTTATTCTCTTCTTCACTGGGAATTATCAATTTTTTATTACTTTGAAAATGAACAGTAATAATGTTATATAGTAAACTACAAATTTAAATGAAATCCATGTGCTTATTTTCAGTTTTTTTTAATTGTAAAAAACTCATAATCATGGAGCTTTGATTGTCTTAATTTCTATTTTTCTTTCCTTTTTCCAACCTAGGTTGTAGGTAGTATGGATGCCCACCCAAGCAGATACTGTGCCACAGTAAGAGTTCAGAGACCCCGACAGGAGATCATCCAGGACTTGGCTTCCATGGTTCGAGAACTTCTCATTCAATTTTATAAGTCAACTCGGTTCAAACCTACTCGTATCATCTTTTATCGGGATGGTGTTTCAGAGGGACAGTTTAGGCAGGTTGGTTGCCTGGGATCTCATCATTCTGTGGTTAAATCAGATACTGGGTTTATAATATGGTATCTAGTTCTAAAGTTAGAAGCCTTAATTAGGTTGAAAATTCTCAAAAGTCAAAATTTGATGGTTCCTTAGATTTTCCCTTCTAAAAAGCTTACTATGGATGTGTAAGCCTTGATTGCTAACATCATTCTCTGATAATAGTTTAAATGGAATAAAGAAGTATATTTAACTGTAAGGTGATAAGATTAAGAAGTCCTGAAACTAAATTATGATCTTAGTTTGAAGCATATATAAGAGAACAACTGACTATATCAGATGTTTCCATTTCATCTCCTCTAGGTATTATATTATGAACTACTAGCAATTCGAGAAGCCTGCATCAGTTTGGAAAAAGACTATCAACCTGGAATAACCTACATTGTAGTTCAGAAGAGACATCACACTCGATTGTTTTGTGCTGATAGGACAGAAAGGGTAATTTTACATCTGTTGTAATGCTATAATAAGACAAACTTACCTCAGATAGCTCTTAACAGAGCTCATAGAACACTTAAAGAGGCTCTCTGCCAAGCAGAGGTCCCAATATATACTAGCAGATTTCAACTTAGCAGATTATGAGTATAAAAGCATCCAAATAGGTTGTTGCTTTTAATTTTCTAGAATTTCTGTTAACCAAGTTCTATTCTCCAAGCATTCAAAATCCTGTTAATGCTTTTTGTTATTGTGAAGAAATTCTTTGTTTTGTTTTTTTTTTTTT